GAAGATAAACAATATGATATTCCCGTTAAAAAGAAAAGTGACATATTGATATATCATGGTTTTTATGGTTTTTAACCATGATATAAGTCCTTTTTATTGAGTCTTTTTGGTCTTTTTAGAGTCCTAGAAGAGTCTTTGCAGGTTAAAGAATGTCTGGAGCATAATTGGAGATATTGGAACTTTTTGGAGCATTCTGAGTTGAAGCCACGAAGTACCAAGATCGAAGCAGAAAGTATTCACTAATGGTGACGATCGTCACCCCATTGGTGACGCTCGTCACCCAGATAGGAAGGAGCGTGGCTATTTGTTAAAAGTATCAAGAAGAATTGCAGAACTTACCCAGAAGTTTCCTTTATTTATATGAAGACCCCAGATCGTGTTTAGCTCCTATTTATTAGGTTTTTCAGCCACTGTTGGCAAGAATCTTAGTTTTGAGAATTGAGAGAGCTAGAGAGAGATTTTATTCAGAGCTTTTTGGGGAGACAAATCCTGTACTCTTTAGAGAAGATTTCGAACCCCCTTTGTTTTCTACTCTTTCTCTTAATGCAATTTTATTCAGTTATGTTTTGTGATCTCATAATCATGTCTGAGTAATCTGCTAGTTAAGTTAGGGTTTTTCAAAGGTTGATGAAAAGAGTGTAGAATCGCTATCTGTTAGGATTATCTCATAGTTTTTCATCTCTGCTTGCTTTAAAATCGAATTTCTGAGACACATCATCTAGGAATTCGAAAATCATAGGTTGTTAAATATTTGTGAGAGCATTATTCATAACCTGAACTAGTATTTGATGAGCAAAACAACTTAGTACAAAGAGATTTGGCTTAGGAGTTTTGTAAACAATTGAATCTGATCATTCCTGCATACTTAGGTTGTTAGGGTTTGCAAAGAGATTTGAAACTCTGTGATCTAGGTATAGATAACTTCTACAATGAGAATTGATTAGTTATGCATTAGAGATTCATGTTTAAAAACGGTTCTTAATCATTCCTGATTCCCTGCATTCCGCATTCTTGGATTCATACCTGCGAATTACCCTAGCTTAGCGCTTTTAGTCTTCCTGAACTTAGAACATATCATACCATCGTTTGCTTATTTCTAATTATTCATTCGCATTACATACATCATATTTCGCTTAGCTTAGTCCAAATCTATAATTGATAGTGTAGTTAGCATTACTCTCTTGGGATTTCGATACCCCTTATACTACATCTACTTTGCTGTGCACTTGCAGTAGTTTTTATTTGGGTAAAACCTGAGCCCTATCACATATGCACGATAATGTATACAAGCGGAACAACTGGTGACCCAAAGGGAGTTCTGATTTCAAACGAAAGCATTGTTGCTATAACAACTGGTGTTATGCAGTTCCTACAGAGTGTCAACGAAACCATGAGTTTCTTCAATTTCAAATGATCTCACATGCAAAAAGCCTGCATATTTATGAACTGAGTTTTTCTATTTGTCCGTTGCATATACCAAAAAGGCATTCACCAAAATAATTTAAATATGTCTAGCATCATCACATGTAAGAGGACCTATCAATATTATTGATACTAATAAAACAACCTGCAAAGTGGTATGCAGAGGTGCAAAGTGGTATGCAAAGGCGAGTTCTTCCAGCGATTCCCACTCTCTGGCATTGTTTATAGGCTATAAAAATGAGTAAAGGTAAGGAATGTACAAATACGATCCTTTTTTCGATTTACTATATATGGATTCAAGAAAAGTTTAAAACAGCAATACCTTATTCCATTTGAAATCTGTAAATTTGGTTGTAAAACAAATGGTCACCAAACATCATCAGATGGAATATCTGCAATTTAAAGTGAATTTCAGTTGAAAGAGACATTGAATTGCAGATACTCTTCACAAAATAAAAGCTTACAATATACTATGCAATTTTAAAACCACGGGAACAAATAATCTTTTTATTGAACTACGTCCCTGCAAAAATTTTGCTGTTAGTCGACAAGTTTGTCTCTTCACCTCTCTCTATAATTTTATCTCCCATGTTTCTGAGCTTCAACCTCCAAATTTAAAACACAAAATACAAAAGGAAGGATATGTATAGATGAAATACGCTAACATCTACGTAAATGTATACAAGAGGACAAATTAGTAATTGCCTTGAGATCGATAAAATGCTGTGATTTTATTGCCAGATTCGAGTCCTGTTAGAGAATTGCAGGGATAAAATACCGTGATTTCATTGCCATAGTCTCCGATTTCTCTAGCTGTGACTTTTTAGCATATATACGACTCTTTACTAACCTCGTCCTGACTATCGCCAGCAAAAGACGCACCATCTCAGAGAATTGTAATACACAAATCTTTTCGTATCTGCAAACAAAACATAGCAGTCATCAAAACAGTGATATCCAGGATTATTTCCATACCATGCTTAAGATCATCTAATGATGATAGATAATATGAATTGAAGCCAATCTTTGAATGAGACTCGGTTTCATTGTAATCTCTTCGATTTCACTCATGAGAGAACCAGCATACAAATTGAAAGCATAGACGGCGGGAACGATTCAAATCTAGCATGAATTGATGAATTTATGGAAGGAAGTCGGAGGGAGGCAAAAAAAACCCTGAGAATCCAAATCTAAATCCGGAGAAAAGACCATGTCCACAAGCATGAACCTTCCAGTCTGACCAGCTTGGTCTATGTTCTGAGTATGTACAATGGCTGATCTGATCATCTAGCTTGAACGAAAGTAACACCAGCTTGATCCGAATCGATTTTCGTCCAGATCTGATGAAGATTTGAGGCTCTCTTCGCCCATATGTGGCTTGAAGCTCTCTTCGATTTCGTCAATTTCGCCCATGAGTGTCGCGATGGTTTGGTGAATTAAATAGATGATTTGTCCAAAATTTCTTTTTCTAAATAAAAAAAATGCCATATTATATTTACGATGTGTCATTCTTTTGCACCAGGTTTTGTTGAGATTTTTGTAGTAAAAGTGTTGGTCAAATAATGTATAGGATTATTGACTCATCGAATTGAAAATCACATTTAAAAAAAAAAAAAAAACCGAATAACCAAACTAAATTTCCTCAAAATCGAACCGAACAAACCAACTTCCAAAATGAACCGATTTAAATTTTCGTACGGTTTAACTAGACGAGACTTTACCCAATCTGACCAAACCGAGTAAACCGGATGCCTGAAGGTCTTCTTTGTTTATCCATTTACTTCTTCCCGCGGTCTCAATACAGAGCGCGTAATCCAAAAACCCCCAAAATATGTAGAGATACAATGTACAAAACCCTAAATTCTTAATTCGATTAATTGATTTTATACAAACAAAAAAAAATCAATTCCATGGCGGAAGAAGAGATCAATCGACCGGAGTTTCCAATCACAAGAGTGAAGAAGATCATGAAACTCGACAAAGACATCAACAAAATCAACTCGGAGGCTCTTCACCTCGTCACTTACTCCACCGAGCTCTTCCTCCGCTTCCTCGCCGAGAAATCGTCGGTAGTAACGGCGGAGAAGAAGCGGAAAACGGTTAACCTCGATCATCTGAGAATCGCCGTGAAGAGACACCAACCCACGAGCGATTTCCTCCTCGACTCTCTCCCTCTCCCCTCCGCTCAGCCCGTACGAGTCACTAAAACGGCGTCGGAGAAGAAGCCGCCTCCTGTTGGGACCCGTCGCATCGACGATTTCTTCAGTAAAGGGAAGGCGAAATCTGATTCAGGCTAAACCCAGTTTCTCTTCTTTCAATTGAAAACTTCCTCTTTGCTCAAATCAATCTCACTTTTCTGATTTTTTGTTAATTTGTAGTGAGAATTTGACCATTTTGGATCGAGTCTATAGCAATTGGTATTTATAAAGATGTTGTTATGTTTCTATTTTGGAATTTTACATGTTTCTGATTCTTGTTCTTGTGAGATACACAATCTTGAATGGTAAATGTTATGAGCCAATTTCTTCTTTCGAATGAAACTTCCTCTTTGTTAATTTTTGTAGTGAGAATCTTGACCATTTAGATCTAGATGAAGATGTCTGAGTTTTCTATTTTGGAAATTTACATGTTTATGATTCTTGTTCTTATGTTTCAACCTTTCTCTAATCTCTAATTTTGATGATAGAAATGAACCAATCAAAAGCTAAAAACCTTGATTAATCAGTGTTTCTTGAGAGAAAGATCATTATCCATTGTTACGGTTTGTCAATAACTCTAATGCTCTATGTTGAATTTCGTCAGAATCTATCATTTTCACAGATTTGAACTGTTTCATTCCCTGCTATGTGAAGTTATTAACGATGGTGTGATAGAGATTAGTCAGACTACATTCAGGTTGTGTTAAAATATGCTTGTTTGATTTATCTTTTGATTCGATTCTGGTAATCTGATGGGTGTGTTTGGCTTCCAAAGACTCTTGGTTTGTGTCCAAAAACGTTTCCTCTCTCTCACAATTGACCTCTTTTTATAATATCTTTAATATTCTGTTCAATTACTATGGGAACTTGAATGGTTAAAATCAACTTCTTCGTATCTCGAGTATTTCGTTACTTGTTGCCCCTTCCATTTCCCGAAACCTTTTTTAATTATGCATTTAACCAAGAGGAAAAAAACTTATTTTTTCTATAAATTATAAAGTCTTATCTAGAGAGAACGATTGCCTGGTTTCACTCTGAAATTTTAACCGAACATAGCATATTCACCTTGAATCTGTTCATATATGCTCGTTTTTTTTTTCTAGAAATATAGTATACGTTTGTATTTTCATCTGTTTCTATCTAAAAACCGCATTTCTGTTCGGCAAAATTAGTCTATTTTTTCTCTGAAAATTCTGTCAATGCGGATTCTCTATATGAACAGAGCATTTTTTTATGTCCTGTATGTGTAAAATATGTTCTTTACAAAAAACATTAATTCAGATATTGTCTCAAAGATTTTTATATCGACCTGTATCTGTCAAAAAATGCCTAACCTTTTTCTTTTAATTAATTGTACCAATGCAGAATTTGTGTCAAGACATGTCAGATACTTTGGAGAATCCTGTAATAAACTTGAAACTACTCATAGATGAAGAAAAATACAAAGTTGTATTCGCTGAGTCGTGTAAGGATTTTGTCGATATACTCTTTAGTTTTTCGACATGGCCAATGGGATCGATTGTTCCATTGATGTTGAAGCATTATGAGTCACAGTCGACAACAATAGGCTGTTTCAACAATATTTATGCGAGTGTTTTGAGTATAGGCATGCAGCATTTTAGAACCAAAGCTTGTAAGAAAATGCTTTTGTTTCCAGGGAGTTTGAGTCAGAAGAAATACAATAAGCTTAAGCTGAATAATATTTATAATTTCGAAACTACCAAGTGTTTCATGTGCCCTATGTTCGGGCGAAGTGAACAATGTAGTAAAGAGTACAGCAATTTCAATACCTCGAGATGTAGCTGTGGGAACTTTATGGATGAAGTGATTCAGTGTCAAGGAGAAGGAAGCGTAGGAAATGGTGATGGAGGTGGAGTATTTGTGAGGAGTGATCATACTTCTTTCATAATCACTGATGATTTGAAAGTTGAAGTTAAATCTGTTGGGTTAATACTTAATGTTCTTAAAGATCTTGGCTATACAGATTGCGATAAGTTGGTTCAGATAAGTGTCGACATTAATCTTGAAGAGGTATTCTTCTTCTTCTTCTACTACTAGAATTTTAAAAGTTCTTCATGTTCTTATTATGCTAGTTGCTCTTAATAAATTATTGTAGGTAGTGATATTGTGGGAGTGTTTATTCACATCGGATACTCCATTAACCGATGCATTTCTGAAACGAGAAAGCTCATATGATATTATGAAGAGGATTCACAAAACGTTGTCTCCCAAGGGCGGAGGTAATTAAGAAGAGACTGAAATTAATATATTAATTATTTTAGTCTATATACATTTAATTTAGCATAATAGTTTTTGACCCCCCAGTATTTTGTGTTCCAATTTTCATAAACTCCCAGTAATTCAAATATTTTATTATAATAGTCTTCTCGTTTTAATATTAAAAAATTTATCCTTGTTATTTTAACTATCTAAATAGAAAACTAAAGCAATAATTTATAAAAACAAGAAAATGACTGTATTTGCAAATACTTTCTTAATATCTGTAAAATTCTTAAAACATCTACAGTATCATTTTGAAACAAAGAGAGTATTTAATAAACTTCTATATTATGACCCTGATAAAATTTATTCTTATGTGTCCTGCCCTCCTTGAAGAAGATAGAGAGGAATCAAAAGCTGGTCAAACGATTATGCTAAATGCATATGTTGGGAAGGAGGAAGGGAACATTCTATTTGCTGAATGTGGGGAAGACTTTGTTGATCTTCTCTTCACTTTTCTTGCTCTGCCTCTAGAATCTGTATGGGGAATATCTGGAAATGGAATCATTTTGGATGCGTTGGAAACTTGTGCAGAAGCTTCAAGAACTTGAGTGTTGATCACGGAAGAGAAGCTAAATGTGTTCTTCCTCATTACTACAACTGTCAGAAGCAGCTGCTTGATGATTTGGTCACTACTGATAAGCCACCAACTTACTACCGTTATGTTACCTTCTCTGTGGATCATTTTAGAGAGTACTGTTTGTCTGAAAACTCCCGTAAGCCACTTGTTTATGATTGGGATAAACTCGTGCCCCTGGTTTCAATAGATCCAAAATCTGAAGGCAACACATCTGATGAATCGGTAACACCTACTGGTGGATTTATGAAGAGAGGGACAAAGTTTATGGTAACGGATGATCTTTTCATTACACCTTCGAGTTCGATCTCAACCAGTGGATTTCTAAAACAAGAACAGATTCGATTAGATGATGTCGAGGTTCGAGAGATCATCATTAGGAAAGAAGAGGTAAATGCTTGTCAATAGTCTTGTCTGATTAAAACATTATACAACATTGCATATTAACATTCTGTTATGTATTTCAGGCTATTAGGTAATTAAAAGCTTCATTGGTGACATTTTCTGCCTTAAGCACTGGTCTTCTAGGTGTCGAATCAGCTTCAACAAGTGTTCCTCGAAACCGATTCTTGATGAAGCTAAAGATTGAGACTTGAGGAGCAATGTTCAACCCGAAACTTCGAGTTATTGTTAAATTTGATCGCTCAAGTATCTTTTGATAGCATCTGGAAGCTCAGTTACTATATTAGTTTCTTCGACATTTGCTATTTCTAATCTTTCTTTTTAGCTACGTACTTCTCAATTGGTTTTTTTCTTCGTGAGAAGTTGAAATTATCTAAACTTCAATTTTTAAGCAAAATTGTTTACTTCAATTTTTAAGCTAAAAGGGTTTGTTTCAATCTTAATTGACTATCGGTTTGTTTTCACTTCTTAAAATGTTCAAGATTTTTGCACATGTATTTTTTTGTTAAAAATGTTAAAAAATGAAACCCATAACCAACTCAACTAATATTGTTATTAAAAATGTGGCCTAATGTTTAGAATTATAAACGTGATTCGAGGCCATTAATTAAGATCTCTGTTTGTGCTCTTCTTAGGCTGTTCGTTTACAGAAGAAAATGGATTTTGAACAAGCACGTTGTTACTTGTGTATGGATATTTAATTCTTGTAAATAGTGCAAGTTATCTTATCAAAGACATTCTACATTTTTTCCCAGAAAATATTTTGGAAAATAGCAATAAAAAACCCCACCTGTTTGTCTTTGGCCATAAGTATCAATATATCATCAAAGAAAGTTAGAAGCGTTTTCACTAGAACATATCAGAACAAAAAGGAGAAGAGTTATTGTAATCCATCTTCTCTCCATATTTCTCTAAGGAGCTGATATCTTACAGTCTTCCTGCGACCATATCCTTTTGGCATCCACTCTGATGAACTGGTTGTTCCAGGAGCAGAGATTATAGAGTTGATGGATGTATCTAAGTCATCAAGCTCATCGTCGCTCGTGTATTGTTTCTTATATACCGATGATCCGGTTTCAGATAAAGACGGATTGTTCAACTCTCCTATGAAGCGTTTTATGAAATCTGTAGCTGGCATTAAGTAGACTGTGGGAGATGCAGCGCAAGGGAAGACTGTTATGCACCCATTGTCTTCCTCTGTTAGGCCCTGTGTTAAAGACAAAAAGGGTCAAGAACACACATACACACAAGAACATGTGAAGACGGTTTCTCTAACCTCGGAGTTTAGAACATCGAATAGCCTTCTTGGGATTCGATGCGGGTTAAACTCATCAGGTACAAAGTTTCGAAGAACTCTCTTTATTATTGGTGGACCAAGAGTTGGACAAACCTTCGTAGTTCATACACAAGAACAAGAACAAAATGAAAATTAGCTAAAGTGTTTTAGGACAAGGAGAATGAGTTTTTAAGTCTAGTTACCTCTTTTCTTGTGGATTTGTCTGCAAGCATTTTGAATGGAAGCATCATGAGATCACCCAACGAGTTAAGTAAATGGAACAATCTGAAGTTTTCACATTCTTGCTTCTCCTTATTATTTCCATCTTCATCTTTGTCTTCTCTTTGCTCGAACTGATCCTCAAGCCATCTTGACCAAGTTCCTATCTGCAAAGACGCATTATACAATTTACATACTAAAAGAAAATGTTTTTGTAGTTGAGAACACTGTTCATGTGAGCTTAAGTTACCGCGTTTTTAAGCTGTGCACCGGCACCAAAACTTGCTTTTCCTGCTGGAATCGGAAGAACATTAATGTCGCTGATCGGGTCAGAGACCGGATCAGTGGGCATTTCGCCGGGTGACTCGCGGAGTATTGCGTTGAACATTGCTACATCAAGTCTACTTATTAACTGTTCCATAACCTGATTACGCAAGCAAATTAAGCACCTATATAATAAGTTCAACATTCTGGTTAAGGCTGGTCAATTCTGGTTCAACCCGAATAAACCGAAAAATTTGGAACTAAAAGCTAATCTCATACCAGTTTAGCAAGCACAGGTAGACAACCACACTCTTGTCTTGAACCTCTGAGTGGACAAAGTCTTTCACAGGCAGCTCTAAATGCATTCTTCCATAGCTCTATAGCATAGAGTCCTTGGTTCTTATGACCTAACCGTCTTTTCCCCGAGACTTTCCTCGATATCGATCCTTTAACCGCTGTAGATTGCATATACGGTGTCATACTCTGCAATGGGATGATAAACTCATTGACGGTTTTGATGAAAACTCATTCACAGAAAAGTTGTTATCTTTTGATTACCTGCCACCAAACTGATTTAACAACTCGAGAGAATATCCAAGACTCGAACTTCTCTAAAGCCGCAAGAAACGCTCGAGGATCTTCCCATTCATCTGAACCGGGTTTAGTAGAGACAAGGTTCAACTTCTCTAAACCGCGGCTTAGAATTGCTCTGAGAACAATCGAATTCGATAGCCAAAAGGTTAACCTGTGAAACAAGAAACAGTAGAAATTTAGAATCATATGCCAAGATGGAAAGAAAAAATGATATGATATGGTTATGTACCTTGGAACATCATTTCCACAAGCTTTAGAAACTAATATCAATCCAGAAACCGCGGCTCTAGCCGCGCAGGCTCGCTTAGAATGATCTGAGCCATTTCCTTTACAAGAATGACGATAAAACCTAGCAAGACGACGAGCTGGAGCATGAACCTTGCTCATGGAGCTACTATGCTCAGCGACCACAGAGTAAACAGCTGCTTCAAGAGCCGCTGCTTCCTTAAGCTCATCTTCAAGCGTCTCTGATTTGGAGTCCTGCGGAGTTATTAAACCTAACTTGTTGCTCACTCCACTCGCCTTTTTCCGAATATCATCATTGATTGTATTCGTACCGGTTCCATCAAAATGCAACTGAATAGACTTAAGCTGTTTAAGTCTTGGAATACCTTCCATCCCTAGAGTCTTTCTTCCCAAGGCAAGAGTGTTTGTTCGAAGTTTCATCTGTTTTCTTGCTGCATCGGGAGGTAATGGAGAAGGAATAGAACTGATCTCGGAGAACTGTTTCTTGAGCTTAGAGGCAAATGTATCGTTCTTGTGTTTTTGATCACTCTCTGAGCTCACAACCACTGATTGGTTGCTCTGTCTCTTTCTCTCTTCTTCTCTAAGTAGATTCTCGATCTCGGAGACTAGTACTGCTTCATTGTTACTGTGCTTAAGCGTTACATGTTTCCAACCTTTCTTCTCATCTTTGTTCATCTCTGTCTCTGTATTCTGATTTTATTCAACAGCTCAGTAAGTTTAGTCTTACTTCTCCGATGAAACTTAATTGTGATCTTTATCGACTCTAAAAGTATATAATAATTAAAAGAACAGAGATAATAAAATAAAGCAGCACAAAAAACTACCAATTCCATTAGACAAGTAATTGCAAAATTTGCAATGCTAAATTTATAGCTGCTTAAAGATAAATGAATAATGTAATAGAAGAATATTCAAATAATCTACTAACAAAACATTTGAACTGAATAAATTTTTCACATAATTATAATAAAAAATGAAAAATGCTTTGAGTAGATTAATGATTTTTTCTATTCCTATTAATTAATTTTTTAACATATTCAAAATATATAGTAAAAACACTTATTAAAACTTAAAAATTTGATGAATGTTTTTAAACGTGCAAAATCACATTTTCAAAATATGGAAAAGTGAATACTATGCATCACCTTTCTTTGCTTAAAAAAAAACAAAAACAGAAAACAGATAATTTTCTTAACAAATAACTAAATGAATATAAAGTTCAAAAATAATTAAAAAAATACTCAAGCATAGACGTGCGTACCTCAGATCAAATGCCGAAACACACTAGTCACCACTAATCAAATGACTAAAAAATAAAAATAATTAAATACAAAATGCGTACCATGGGATTAGCATCACACGTGGCTGAGAAAGAAACCCTCCGTGTAGACGAACACTGCGACGAAGCATCATCATCATCATCATCCGTCAACGACGCCAAACTAAACTCACTACCTTCTTTATCCACCGATCCTCTCATCTTCGGCTGCGACGACGAACAGCTACTCCGATAACCATCATCATCATCCTCACCGGCTGGCTCAATAGTTAGGTAAATCTCAGAGTTAGCATCGTTTCTTGAGCTCTTCTTGAAAGTAAACGGAGCTCCCACGGGAACCGAATGTGTCAACACGCCGTAGTCAGCAAGGTTGACCACGGCCGAGCCAATAAGCTTGTTCTTGACTCCTTTTTCTTTCTTCTTCGCGTCATAGACATGAAGTTCCAAAAGATTCTTCTGGAACTTCTTGTCTGCCCCGACTTTGGGTTCTAACGTTAGCGTTAGCCTGAAGGACTCGTTGAACATGATCGTGTCTTTGCCCACGACCGCGATGAACGATCCTGAGCTGTTTTCGCCGTTCTCCCATTTGAGAAGGACGCACTGTGCAGGGACTTGGCTCGTTGGCCATGGCTTTAGCTCCTTGATTGAGATTAGATACTCAACGAACACTCCATTGTCTTTACGGCTCTTTGTTCGAAGACCTAACACCATTTTGTTTTTTTTTTTGAATGTAGATGAAAAAGGTGATTGTTGGTTATTATTTATTAAAGAGATTTTGGTTTATAATGGAGTTCATGTTTTGGAGGAGTAATAAACAAAACCACCGGCCTAAAACGGACGTGGGCTGCACCATTTTCTTTTTTCTTATTGTATACAAGCAGGAGCTTATAATGCTTTCATATACCATCCGGGTTATTACAAGAACTAGCAAATAACACCAATGGATTTAAAATGATGCTGAATAAAATAGTGGTAATATTAATAAGTAATACATCTTTTATTATGGTTTTGAATGAAGGGTATATATTTGTTGGTAAAAGAAAACATATATCTCTTTCAAAGTTAATTCCATAGCTTATTACTCGGATGATTATTGAATGAAATTATAATAGCTACACGAACGAATGCATCGAATGATACGAGAACACGGAAGTGAAGTTACAATGACCAACACAACAATGTGAATACTGAATTTCTTTTTTTAGGTAACAAACACACTTTACATCTAATAAACTTTTGTTATGCATATTTTATTGTCTGTCTTTTGAAGGATGTTTGGGAATTTTAGTGTTATGCTTTAGGCCTTTGAGTTTGCAGATTTTGGACAATATTTTGGGTTTTTGTTTTTCAAAAAAACCATATATTAATCCAATCATTTTTTTTTTGTTAAATTGATTTCCTAATTTTTAGAAAAACTAGATTTTCCTCGTTTTACTATTTGCTACACAAACTAAATTCTTTATTTCTTGTGTTTTCCCCAATACACTACTAGTCGCCGATAGATTTATTTTTGACAAATATATAACTATTTTCTTGCAAAAAAAAACTACTGACTTACACGTTCAAAAGATCGCCCACAGCAACTGAACGAACAACCATATTCAATGGTTACCTATTTAATGAATTCTCAAACCTTTGTCACAAAAACCGAGCCCAAACACATAACCAAACCCTCAAAGATGTATAAGTGGCTCGGAACCACAAGCAATGACACGGAACGGTACATGAAAACTAGTTCCTTCGGACCTAAAGCACAATGATGAACACTGACTACTTCCACGATGTTTAACATAACCACCAAATCATAGTTCTCAATTTTTGTCTATACTTGTTTTCCTATATGAACTTGAGACAAAAACAAGGATGAAAATCAATCTTGATTACATTTACTCTCACTGTTATGCATCAATACATTTGAATACTATGTTCCTTATAACTTACAAGTTACAACAGCTCATGAGGTTTGTGCCCTGGGCAATGTAGTTTTCAAACAATTGCCATATGACAAGTAAACCCGAATGCTAGTTTACTTCTACTCTTTTCGCAGTTATCGTATCGATGATTCCATAAGTTAGTTGTGGCTTTTACCTGGTCATAATTCTCCAGTCAGTTTCAAGGTGAGTGCATTCTAGTGAGTCCTGGACTTTCTCCAACGCTCTCCTCCGGTGTTGCAGCAAAGAATCACTCTGATTCATCTCCTCGTCTTTCTTTCTCCGAGGTAACTTTCTAGAAAAGATCTTCCATTTAGATTCAAACGAGGAAGCTGGAGAGTTTAAACAAAGGTTAATCTCATCATTACACGATTCATAAGACAATGTTCAATCCTTAGAGATGAAGAAAGATTGTGTACCTTGGCTTAGACAAGTGAATCCAGTGATGATGCAGGCACAAAGCCATGGTCTTCCTGCACTTGAGGCTTTTGCACCTCCTCTGATTTCACCATTGTGCTGCTTTAATCTGCACCAATAACAACAAAAAGCACTTTACTTTTTTTCAAAACCCACAAAATTCTCTAATCTATCAATAGAAAAAAGATCATACTTGCATGGGAACATCAATCAACAACCAATCTTACCCAAAATGAAATTCAATTGTAAAATCTGCAACAACAAAAAAACACTTTGCCTTTTCAAAACCCACAAAATTCTCAAATCTATGAATTGACAAAAGCTCATGCTTACAATTGGAATATCAATCAAAAATCAATCTACTCAAAATCAAATTCAATTGTAAAATCTACACCAACAACAACAAAAGCACTTTGCTTTATCAAAATCCACAAAATTCTCAATTCTATGAATTGATAAAGGCTCATGCTTTACAATTGGAATAGCAATACCCAAAATCAAATTCGATCACAAAGGAGTGTAAAAAGGGAGGAAGAACAAGATGACGAACCGGCGAGCGAAATCGGTGGTGATTCCGACATATGTTTTGATGGGTTCGTTGGTAGAGAGAATGAGATAAACGGACCAGGAGTTGGGTTTAGAGGTCTTCGATTTTTCTTTCGGAGAAGATGAACTTGATGAAATTGGAATATGGGTTCGGGAAGCTTTCAGATCTTTGAAGTTCGGAGCTTTAGGGCTAAGGTTGTGTTCGCGGAGCTTGACGGATGGGAACGTTTTAGATACCAACCTCATCATCACACAGCTCTCGGTATCGTCGTCTTCATCACATAAAAATCTTGAAGCCACCAATAACTAAAATAAACGGACAAAATTTGGCTCAGATATCGCCAGGTCTTGCCAAAATAACTATTTTTTAAGGAAAAACATCTCCATTTGTGAATCAAAATGTCCTCAAACTAAAATGATCTCAGCTATATTTTTTTAACGTAATCTTTTGAGAAGTATTTTTAGAGAATAACTTCAATTTTGTAAGTATTTACAGTGATGATATTATGCATATATGTCAATTCCACTTTTATTCTTAGCTAATTTTTTTCTAAAAACACTTAAATTACTAGACTAATTACATAATATGTTATTGTATATTTTAGGTCTACACATATGTTATGATTATTTTTTTATTAAATTCAAAGAAAATAATATATAAATAATAATTTAATAGAATAAATTTGTTAATCAACACAACAATAACACAAAAGTCTCTCCATAGCTTGACACCTCAGCTTTTTAAAGCTTTATAAACATGACACCTCAGCAAAAATAATCACCAATCAAAACATTTTATTAATACATCTCATCTACTTATTTTAAATTTTAAACTTAAACCCATTAAAAACCCAAATATTTTTTCTATTAATTTTTTGTTTTATTTTTACCAAACCCAAGCCCAAATAATTAATAACAGTAAATAAAAAATCATTATTTTATTTTTTACCAAATCCAGACCCAAATAATAAATAAAAAAATTAAATCATTATTTTCTTTTACCAAAACCAAATCTAAATAATAAATAATAACAAATAAATAATAAAAAATTATAGCTATCTGTTTGTTTGACATAAACGTATATGATTGACAAAGTGTAGGCTCAACATCAATTATGCTTCCATGACAACAACGCAAAAAGCCTTATGTTATAAGAAGCTCACACATCAACAAAAATTTGAACCGATAAAAACGTAACAATTTCTTAGTTTTCGCTAGAAAACATAATTTTATGGGAGATAATGCAATTTTTAGTTTTCACAAGAAATTGTAGTTTATTTGTTTCTGTAGGAAAGCGTGATTCTGGGCTAGACGAAAAAACGGTTTTTTTTTTTGCAGGAATAGACGATTTCTCAGTTTTCGTAGGAAAAATAAATTTTTCGATTATGGCGGGAAAATACAACTTTTTGGTTTTTGCAGGAAGATGAAATTTTAGGTTTTAGGTTTGACGAGAAAATGATTTTTTTGGTTTTGACGGGAATAAACGATTTCTCAGTTTAATGGAAAATGAAGTTTTTTGTTCTGACGGGAAATGCGATTTCTCGATTTTTGTAAGAAGATGAAATTTCTCTGTGCTAAATTTCCAAGTTAAAGTATGTTTACAGTAACCAAAATTTAATTATTTAACTTTAACTAAAACGATATTTTAAGAGCTCAAACATAATTTTCTATTTAGTTCTAAAGCAATAGCAATAGTTTTGATATGAATGTTATTGATTATAGTTTGGTAGTTTTAGAAACATATGCTTATAATAAAATATTTGATAAATAAATAAATTTTATAATTCAAAATAATCATATTAATTAATAATTTTTTTTTAAATGGTATTTTGCTTTATATAATTACAAAAGAGGATCAAGTGGTAATTTATTGGAGAAAATAAATTATATTTGTCATTAGCATAAAGATTAAAAATGTATTGCTTTATTCTTATATATTTTATTCCTATATATACGTTTATAATTAGTTAGCTAACTAAATTTGATAGCAAATTATAATTTTGAAAAAAAATATATATATAATGTTTATTCAGATTTAAAACATATAAATACATAGTTTAAACTAATAAAAAAATAAATATAATACTCATTTATATTATAAAAATAATTTTATTATATTAAAAATATATATAAAATTTAGAAAAATATCCCGCAGCATAGCGCGGATAAATACCTAGTGCTAATTATAATATACACAAAATAATTTATTATATAATACTTTTAAAATATTATTTACAAATATTTTATTAAAAATTCATAGAAAATATATAATACTTCTTAATTTTTTCTACTTTTATCATTCATAACAAAATATATAATATTTTTTAATGTTTAATACTTTGTTTATTAATTATTAATTAAAACTATTTTTATAGATACAACAGAAAAATTTAAAATCATATTTTATTTTCGTCAAATTCATAATAAAATATATATTACTTTAATAATGTTTATTTATTTTGTCAGAAAATATTTTCATTAATAGTTCATCAAAAATATTCTTATAAATACAAATAATAATTTTTTTTTCTCAAAAATTAATCAGAACATATAAAAAAATTTATATTGATTTTATTCATATATTGATGTAATTATGAAAACAATATATAATACTTCAAGATAAATATTTTTAATGTATATTTTTTAACAATTATTAATAATATTTTAAAAATAAATTATTTTATATGTTATTTTCGTAAAAAATCAATCAGAAAAAATTAATGACGAATTTCCAATCAATCGAAAAAAATAATAATGACAAATTTCCAAAATTATTATGATACATATTATTACTATTCAGATTTACTATATAAGGAAATATATGGTATTATTACTTATTTTATATATGGTTTTAAGGTGACGAATATGGCATATAACATTATTGCTTACTTTTTTTTGGTAAAATACCATAACATGATGATACTAATATTAACTGTTTAGTTTTTTTTTGAATCAATGTTTGGTTTATCATATACCAAATTTTCTGGAAGATTTGTTTGTGTTTCTTTTAATTTTATTAGTGGTTAGAAAATACTTCAATTTGTTAATCGTTTAAATAAATTACCAAAAAAGTTTAAGTTTATCGGCTTTAAATCAATCAATATAGTTACAATAGAAACTTTATAAATTAATAATATTGAGACTTTAATAATTTATTAATTTATCTGTTTTTGAATTAAATACTGAAATAAAAATTAAATTTGTTTAGAAAGTTAATGATATCTTTAAACATTTTAATTAAATTATAGATAAACAATAACAATATTCCAACTTTAATAAAAACAAACAATTATATATTCATATTTTAGTAAATTATCGTAGTTATATATTAATATAAGATTATTTTATGGTAATTATTAATTTATGAAATCAATGAAACCATATATTTACATATGTTTTTTTAAAAAACTTAGGTTTTTTTTGGTAATTTAAATTTACATAGTGTATTTTATAAATAGACAAACTTTCGATCAATGCTTATTGATAAATGGTATTAAAGAGCAATCTATGATTTTATATGCAAATTTATTTATTAAAATACTTATATATATTTGGAAAATATTTATTGATTAAATATTTTTGGAGTTAATAACTGTTTTTTGTAACAAGACTAATTATTTACATTAATTTATGGTTATGTTGTTGCTTTTATAATTTTATTGTATTCTATATATTTTTTGTTTCCAAATATTTTCATCGTATACATATTCAAATACTTCTGATTTTAAATTTAGTTATCCCCTTTTATATTAAGATTCTGATTTTTTTTACAAATTAACAAATATAGTATATGCAAAGCTTTGGATATTGATGAAATTGAAAACACTGAATAATGTCGTTTATCATGAGATATATAAGTTTTATATAACGGCTTCGTATTTTTACCCAACTAAACATTGGACCATGTATATAATATTTAATTTTTAAATTAATTTATATGACAATTTTAGTATGTTATTGCATACTGTTATATGAAACTATATAAAATCAATTATATCATATTGTATAATCTTAGAATTAATCTTGTTTTATATATATATAATAATTATTTCATCCTGCACAAGGTACAGGTTATTACCTAGTTTATAATCTATTTACTCTTAATATTTTCTCTTACTCTTATGAATTATTTGGAAAAACTGGGATAATTTTTTTATTTTTTTGAAGCAAGAGCGGCTTGTATCACTGTTATGCATCAAAGTATCTAATAAATAAATAAATTTAAAATAATAATAAACATTGTAATCCAAAATAATAATAATAATAATAATAATAATAATAATAATAATAATAATAATAATAATAATAATAATAATAATAATAATAATAATAATAAAAAAGAGAAAGAAAAAGAAAATTAATAATAAAGAAAAAAAATGAGATAAACTATTTTTGAATAAGAGATTTTAAATACGTTTTTTAAATTTAACTGCCAGATGTCATCATTTCATTTGTTTAACTATTTAATATTTTGTATTTAACTATATTATTAAAATATATTAATATAATATATTAAAATACTCAGATTGAAATCTTTACAGTTTAAACTGCTCTAAGATGATACGAATCTACAAATGAAACAATAATTAAAATAAGAGAAGATATGGCTCAATGGTTTCTAACTTAGACGCTGAGTAAGTCGATGGAGATCAAAGTGGATGTGGCAAGTCTCTGCAAACAGGTGTGAAATGGAAACTTCTATAGTTTAAATGTACCAATGGGTTTTCAAGGCCCGGCCCAGAGGGGATGGACAAATGTGTCATGGCCCAGGGGCCCATAATTTTTTTCACAAAATTACATGTAAAAAATAGCCCATATTCTTTGAAAATACATATAAAAGGGGCCCGATTTTTTTTTGAAACACTCATAATGAAGGTCCAATTTTTTAAAAATATTCATTTATTAATAATAAATGAGCCAAAAAAATTTTTGGCCCAAGGGCCAATTTTTATGTTGGGTCGGGGCTGGGGTTTTCATGGTCAAAGAAACAGCATTTATGTATGTTGTGTTGATTGTTACATAGTAAATAGTGTTTTGCTACATAGTAAAAGAGTTTTATTGTAAGACTTTTAAGGGAAATTCATGTGTGGCTAGCTTTAATATATTGAGGGTTTGATATTAGCCATATGTTTGATTTTTTTTATGGACTGGCATTTGAATTATGAAGAACATGCATCAAATAGAGGAGCTGTTCTCATTGCCGAAAGTGTGATAAAAAAAGATAGTTTCCAATTGTATGTTGCGGTGAACTATCTAATATGGCTAAAGGACATCTTCGTCAATGAAAGAGTTTAATCATTTATTAGCCTGTTCGTTTGGTTACTGCATGCGGCAGCAGCAGCGTCAGCAATAATATTGCTCCAGGTTTTTGTTCATTTTGCACCTGCAGCTGCAGCCGCTGCCACAACAACAAATTGCTGTTCATTTTGTAGTCGCAGCCGCATGTTATAGCCGCAGCCACAAGTACCTGTGACAGCCAAACGAACACCAATTTAAAATACGTAACTGCAGGTCGCAGCCGCAGCCGCATGTCATAACTCCACCGCTGATTTTTTTTGGCTTCCAAAATTTTTAACGCAGCGACCTGCATCTATTGCAGCGTTTTGCCGCATGTACCTGCGTTAACCAAACAAAAAACAATTTTACATGCTGCCAAACGAACAGCACTTATATATTTTTGTTGTGTTAATTTTATTATCAATAGGTTTTTTTTATAATGGCTAATTTTGAAATTTGGTTTAGTTTCATGCTTTAAAAGGTGTGGTGCTTTCAGCAAGAATTTTTTTTTGTATATATAATGACTATAGTAGTTGTATATGGTCAATAAATCTAATTTTGAGTGATCTCCCTCTGATAATCGTCTTCCTCTTTCGCACCTTGATTAGATCCTCACCGGCCAATGGGGACTATGCCATCGCCGGGTCTCCCCCTGTCCTCGTCTCTCCCGTTAGCTAAAGTGAATGCTTGGTCATCAGGTATAAAAAACCCAATTCTGTCTTCAGTCCCTATTGTGTCTATGTTTCAAATCTCCAATGAGATTGTGTCTGTGAGAATCACTGACAAGATCTACAGTGATTTCAATCCTTTATGGAAAAGCTTTGCGTTAGGGTATTTTATTAATGAAGCACCGCATGTTGGAACGATTTACGCAACCATCAATCAAATCTGGACGCATCAAGGTAGCTCCTCTAAGATTGATGTTCTATTTATCGAGAAGAACACAATATTGTTTTGCATTGAGAATGTCCAACTACGCAACCGGGTGATCCGAAGGCGCTATTGACACATATCAAATGTGCCAGTGGTGGTGAATTTGTAGACACCTGATACAGCTAGTTCACCTCCCGACCTGTCTGCTTTGCCTACCTGGGTAGATCTAAAGCAAGTTCCTAGTCATCTATACTCTGAAAGGGAACTCAAATTTCTAGCAAATATGATTAGTAAATTCGTAAAACTCCATCCTAATACAAAGCGACGCACACGACTAGATGTTACAAAGGTGTTAGTGGAAATAAATCTGCAGAAGCCTTTGATAGTGAAGATCCAATTTTTAGATCAAAATGGCAATGAAATGGTAGTTGATGTGAGTTATCCATGGCTGCCTCCGCGATGTTCTATCTGCCAGAAACGGAATCATGTAATTAAGGAATACCAAGATAAGTCTATTAATATTCTTCGCAGAGAATAGGAGGGGGTGAAACTGTGGAGCTGAATGAGAAGAGCCATGCCATCTCCGCGGTTCATAAACTGTTAAATGAGCTACAGAAGATAACACCACTTGATGAACATAAAGCGACTGAGGTTACTGTTATGCAGGGCAGGAGGGAAGTGAGACACTGGGACTTATATATTTAGTGGAGGAATGAGTGGAAAACAATACACAAGCGAGGTCAGATTTTGCATGTAAAGGACAATGGAAATGTGTCTCTAGCCAAAGTAGGTAATGGCTCTTCTTCTTGATATGGCATACTGGCAGATATTGATGAATCTGACGAGTTGGAAGAGACTGATGATCTAGAAGAAGGCGAAGTGGACACATCTACGGATACTGCAGATGTAGCGGAGACAGTACAAGTAGTCTTTGGTGAAGGAGATAAAGTTAAGGCTCAATCTGCCCATGATAAGGCCCACACCAAGACTCCTAAGAAGCATATTGTCAGAATGCAGGATCTGAAGTTTATGGGTACCCAAGGCACAACCAAAACGGCTTCTACCAGGAGGCTATGTCGTCTTTCTTTGCTTGGAACATGTGTGGGTTTAATAAGCCACGCAAGCACGAGGCAGTAGTTGAAAAATGGGTGCAAGACTTAAAACCATTCTTTGGATGTCTTCTGGAAACAAAGGTCTCCCAGGAGAATCATAACTCTATTCTCTTATTTCCTTCCCGGTTGTAGCTCTTTTACTAACTATAATCATCATTGCCTAGCTCGTATATGGTTTTGTTGGTCAGAGGGAGATAAAGTTACCTTGCTGCATCAAAATTCCCAAATCATTATATGTGCAATCGGGCTCCTTGTATCTGAAACCTACTTGAAGTGTTTTGCGGTCTATACCTCCAATTTTGTTAATGAAAGACGACTGCTCTGGGATGATATACAAGCAACACAAGATGCATACAGTAATATATATGTCCCATGGATGGTAGTTGGGGACTTTAATGAAATCTTATCGTCAAGTAAGCTTTAAAGGAACCTAGATTATTAGACGGATCAGACAGGTATGAGAGACTTCCAGAAACTTGTCACAAACTGTAGTCTCTTAGACATCTCCTCTGTATGATCTTTGTTTACTTGGTGGAATAATCTAGATGCAGACCCCATTGGTAAGAAACTAGACAGAGTGCTTATAAATGTAGAGTGGTTGAGCAGTTTTCCTCAATCATATGCTAAGTTTGAAGCATGAGGTGTCTTAGATCATGCTTGGTGTCTGATTACACTCTACCCATCGCAAGCCTTTCCGGTTTTTCAACTATTTGGCTGCACACGTTGACTTTCTCCCAACTGTCTCCAGAGTATGGACCTTCACATATGCCTTATTTCACTCCCAGTCGGCTTTACATAGATCTCCCAAGAACTTGAAATTGCTAAAATATGATTTAAGATCCCTCAATTGCATGCACCATTAGGACGAAGAATGCCTTCCATCATCTCTGCTCACTTCAAAATGTAACATTAGAAGACCCCAGCCCTGCTACATTTTACGAGGCTTCAACTGCAGAGGTACAATGGCAACATCTGGTGGGCATTGAGGAAAAGTTCTTTTGGCAGAAAGCGTTCATACACTGGTCGTAATGCCATCAAGCTACTGACCACTGCTTCTGGAGAAACACTCACCTCCGCTACTGAAATCAAGCTTGAAGCTGCTCTACACTTTCAGCAGTTTCTTCAGACGCTGATGCCATAGACAGCGGTAGCTAATGTGGAGTATATGGAAAGTCTCCTAACCTATCATTGCACTGATATTATTGTTGGACTGTTGGTTGCTCCGATTACTCATAGTGAGATCAAGGCTGCTCTTCTCTCATTGCTGAATGGGAAGGTGTTTGGACCCGACGGGTTTACCAAGGAGTTCTATATTGCAGTGTGGCCTGTTATTGGTGTTGACTTCATAGTTGTAGTGCAATCTTTTTTTCTTTATGGTTTCATGCCAAGGGAAGTGAATGCCACTATATTTTCATTGATCCCAAAGCATGAGACAACCCAAAAAATGAAAGATTATCGTCCCATCGCTTGTTGGAATTTGCTGTATAAGGCGATTTCAAATGTATTAGAAAATTAATTGAAATAGATTCTGCCATAAGCGATAGAACCGAATCAGAGTGCCTTTGTCAAAGGGAGGCTCTTGCTGGAGAATGTTTTGTTGGCATTATAGCTTGTTAATGGCAATTATAAAACGAGCATTTCAACCAGGTGTGCCATTAAGTTTGACATCTCTAAAGCCTTTGACACTGTGAAATAGTCTTTCATAATTACGGTCCTTCAAACTATGAGTCTACCGGCACAATTTGTTTCCTAGTTTTACACATGTATCTCAACTGCAAATTTCTCTGTTTTAGCTAATGGAGAACTTGAGGGGTTTTTTTACAAGTTCAAGGGGGATAAGACAAGTGTGATCTCTTTCACCTTACCTCTATGTCATCTTAAATAATGTCATATCTAAACTGCTGAATAGAACTGGTGCGGAAGGGAAGATTGGGTATCATCTGCAGTGTAAAGAGGTGGAACTCACCCATTTGAGCTTTGCAGATGATATCTTGGTATTCACGGATGGTACTCCGGCCTCCTTGGCTGGAATGATAGGCTCAAAGTTTCATCTAAATAAAACTACAGCAAGTGCACAACAAAGAATATGTAGCATAAAAGGTATTGAAATCCCAAGAGACTTAAGGAAGCCATACAATAGATTCTAGATTTGAATTAAACTAAGATAACTGAATAAAAGTAATGCAAATAAACTAAAAGAAAGCAGCAAATGATCGATTTTAGGTTTTAAATTCAAGAAGATAAGACGCTAGGCTTTGGGAAATTCGCAAGTTGAAATCGAAATTGCAGAATGAAAACTGTCAGGATATTTATTAAGAACCATTCTAGAACTCGAAATACAATTGTAAATCCATTCGAATCTTGTTGCAGAGAGTATCTATGTCTAAATCCTAGATTTCCAAATCTTTTTTGCAAATTCAAACAATTCAGACAAGCGATAAGGCCATGTTCGATCTGTTCACTAAATTCCTAAATCAGATCTCTTTACAGATAGTAAGTTTGGTCATCTAAGATTAGTTGAGGCAATTAATAATACTCTCGCATCTATTAATCAACCTAATATAAGATTCTAGATCACAAAGTTAAAATAAGCAATAAACACAAATCTAGATTAAGAACAAACAGTTTAATCCCAACAGTAATTCAATTTTAATGATTCATAACCTTTGAAAAACCCAAAACCCAACTAACAAACTATTCAGACATGGTAAATTGAGAAAACATCATGAATAAAATAGATTGCATAAAAGAAATAAGTATAAGGATAAAAGGGGTTTCGAATTCTTCTCTCAGAAGAAACATAGTCTCAAAATTGTCTCCCCAAAAGCTCTAGAAAAAATATCTCTCTTTGTCTCTATAGAAAATAAGATACATGCCAAAGAATGGCTGAAAAACTTAAATATACATGCTAAAACGAATTGGGGCCTTTTGCAATTAATGAAACTTCTAGGCCAAAACGGTAATTCTTCCTTCATCTTTTAATAAATCAAGTGACGCTTCCTCAGATGTGGGTGGCGAGCATCACCCAGAAAATGGTGATGATCGTCACCAATGCACAATCATGTCTCCTTATTGCTCTCATCGGGAACGTCTCCAATTTTGCTCCAGAATGCTCCGAAAATTCCAATTATGCTCCAAACACCTACTAACCTGTAAAGACTCTAATGAAACTCTAAAAAGACCAAAAAGACTATAAATAAGACTTATATCATGGTTAAAAACCATAAAAACCATGATATATCATAGAACGCTTGAGATAATGGACAAGTTTGCTCGTATCTCAGGCCTCTATATTAACATGGGAAAATCATCTCTTTATGGCGCAGGTAGATGCATTTTAGCGCTTACCAATACAGCTGAAACAATTGGTCTTGCTATTGGTGTTTTCCTGATTAGGTACCTTGGGCTACCACTTACCACGAAAGAAATGTCAAAGCTCGACTATGAACCACTTATCAACAAGATCAGATCTCGCTTCCTGATGTGGGATCATCAATCCCTCTCCTATGCAGGCCATTTGCAGATGATTATATAAGTCACCACAAGCATTACCAATTTATATGTTCAGCTTTTATTCTCCCTAAGACTTGTTTGGATACCCAATTCAACAAGATTAGAGTGTCAAACCCACTTTTGATGGTGTATTCTCTAACCATGAGCATAAAAGCATAGAACCATAAAGCCTAAAAGAAGTACTAGTCAAGTAAACTTCTCTCACCCAAGCAAGAATTCAGATCAACCTATCAATCTTTTGAACAAATATAGGGACCTAAGTAGCTAACTCAACCAATCAAGAATATATATTCAAGCCCACAATTGCAAACCTAACAATGCTAAGCAATGAACAGGATTTAAGCAAAAAGCATGTTCTTTCAATGCATACTATCTAACCATCAAGCAAGAGTCTCATAACAAGCATTATCTAGCCCTAAGCGAATCATCTAACAAGGTGAACTATCACTTTGGTGTCACTGAACAAAAGAGACATAGACCAAGCTAAACTATCAAGTAAAATAGGCGAATCATGCAAAGAACAAAACTTCAAACCATCAAGTGAATCATATGCATCAACAATACCATATTCAATTAAAAGGGAGAAGCTTTATGAACAATAATCACTTTGCAAGAGAAGAAAATAATATAGAACAAACTAATCAAGTCTAATCACCCCTTAATCACCTCTTAATTACATCTTAATTACCACTTTCTATACTTAGAACCTCAAATCTAAGGTTAACTACTCACTAATAATATTTAATCTTATTTGATTAGAGTTAAGATGATTAGATGAGATTAAATGCAAAGAAAATGAAACTAAGTTACCAGGGTACGAAATCAAAGATCAATAGACAAGATTAAACCTTAAAATGCAAATTTGATTAAAGAAAATAAGTGTTTACAAACATAGGCAAATCACCCTTTTAGTTGGTGAACAAGATAAGAAAAACAAGATAAGATAATGATCTCATGATAATGTTTTGTGGCTTCCCTTTTATAGTATATAACCAAAAGAAGGATAAAAAACCTAAAAATAAGATAAGGTTAAAGAAAATTCGGTCAAACACGTGGATAAAGCATATCGGGGTTGTACGGATGGTGTTTTGCTCGATTCACCACCTCGATATGGTCTGTGCAGCGCATATCGGCTTGTGCAGCTTTACCTGCTCGATGCAGCACCTCGATGTAGACCAAAGCCTTAGGATCCACGAGCTAGTCCTCTTCTTCACGCACCATGGCTTGCATCGGGCACACTCCACATAGGTTTTGGTCGATGATCTCGATATAGGACCAGACTTGGAAAATCTCCTTCTTTGGCATCTCTTCGATCATGAGTTGCTTCCATCTCCTCCCCAAACTCCAAGAACCTCCAAAAGCACCTAAAAAAAACCATAAACATGCAAATGTATGCATATGTATGCAATCCTAAACTAAATGCATGCAATGTTGATTTTAAGTGCAAATGAGACTAAAATGCTAAACTAATATGCAAAAACAAGGGAAAAGATGCTTGAAACGCAGCCTAAA